GGCAGCGCGGCAGCCCCGGGGAGGGAGCAGCTGCGCGCTGGGACCTGCAGGCAGCGCAGGAAAAGCGTTCACCGAGCGAGATGTGGGGGACAAATCTGAGTGGAGAGAGGCCGTGTTAACATCTGCCGCTAGCAAAACAATTTGTTACAGCGCAACAGCTGTCATGGTAAAGGTGATGACTTTCTTCTGGGAGGTGTGAAGTCAAACGTTTCCTTCCTTGGGCACCCCTTCTTGTAGCTAGGACTGCATGAGTCTCATTCACAGCACAAGACTGTGGTTTTGTCTCCTCCTCGCCTGCTGGACGCCTGGTTGCTTGGTTTGCTTTGTGTGCTTCAACCAGTAATTCAGCTGGCACTTGGTGTCTCAGACAAAGAGCTCATCGGTCTGCCTGAGGCCTCATAGAAAGCCTGACAATCAGTCGTGGGCTCACGTTGCCATAGTAGCCTGAGCCCTTCAGGTGCCCATGTAGTTTTGCATCACTCAGGTGAACTCCTGGACAACAGAGCAAGGCTTCAGCAGAAAACTGTATTGTTTGTTTTATTAATACAGCTGTAGCACTGAAAAAGTCGAGGCAATCTCATGTGGTTAATAGTTACTTCAGCTAGTGCATGGCAGGTACTGTTCTTCTGAAAAAGCAATGTCAAGCGTGATATTCAAAAAGAAGTTAATTCTACAACAGGCATGAATCCATTGCTCAGGGATTTCCCTTTCCATTGGGGAATATTTTAAGTTCCTCTGTCTTGTTTTTTCCATTTGAGGCACAAGAAAGATCTCAGTCCTTTTCCTCCTATCTCGGAGCTTGTAACAGGATGTGTAGAAAACATGAGTTCCCAGACAGCATGTTTTACTTTATCAGCCCACCTGTTTCTGAAGCAGACCCATGGATGTAGGGCATTGAAGTGAGACCAGATTTAAACATCTGAAAATCAGAAAATACAGATGGTAGGGGAAGGGTATCTACTCACAGCAAAGGCGGGAAGTCGGGCAGTGTAGGAACATGAGGGAGGTATTAGGGTAGCAGTATGGGATCCCTAAACCTTAATCACCATGACTGTCCGAAGAGCTATGGTTTGTAGTATATTTAGGATTCAATAACAAGTGTTAAAAAGGGAATGACTCATAGCAAACCAATAGCTTTTAAAAACTGGTAAGCATGTAAAGGGAGTGAAATACATGTTAGAAATTATGTGAATATACATTGTAGAGAGCAAAAGCTCAGTAGGTGAGAAAAGGAAGATGCGTAGTAGTCTGCTTGTTAAGTTATTGTCAATGCTGCGTAATAGAATTGCCATGGTTTTCAGTCACAACTTTCCAAATCAGGTTAGTAATAAAAGCTACAACCATTTAAATATACAACCATGATTTCCTGTGTACTACAAAAAAGTAAATAGGAGGAGCAAGGAGTGTTTAAAAATACCATACTATTCTTACCTTACCTTAGCTGTAGCAATGTCTGAATAGTAAAATGATGGTCCAGTAAAATAAATCAATTAAATTCCAACTTCCCAAAACAAGAAAATAATGAATGTATTTACAAAAAAAAAAAGAGAAATAAATATTTAATATGCTCATGCATCCATAGCTTACCTTCATTATTCAGACTCACAGTATAACCATAATGCATATATTGCACTGTTTTTAAACTTGGTTGAGCAGGAGCTATTTGCACGTGCCCTACAGTCAAGCATTTTAGGGTGATGTACAAAAAGAACCTGATATCTGCTATGCTCAATCACTTCCTCACCTTCGTTTACAATGTATCATTTCACATTTTACTCATTCATCAGAACAATCACAGACGATTTGTCTCCTACCTGACTGCCCAGAGTCTCTGTGGCTCAGTGATTGCTACACCTTGCCACTGGCACGAGTTAACAAAAAATGTTTTGAAAGGAGACAAAGTGGATCCCTTGAAATTCTTGTTCCAATGCTTTCCTTCTGTTTTAAACATCCACTTAAATTTCTGTGATTTACTAATTGCAACTCATATCACGGGAGCAGTTCTGCTAGACTGTCCCATCCATTCTCCATAAGTTTGGTATTTAATACTTTGAATGCAGCTGAACTACATGAAAGTAATTTCAGAAGTGTGGGAGAATGATACTTATGATCACATAGTAATTTGCTTTCACTCTGTAATTCTTGAGGGTCTTTTTTTGGAAGCCTGAATTTATTCAAATTAGCATTCAAAAGGCCACAACAAACAACCCTAATTGTGTACTAACAAAGTTTGTTTTGGCCTGGAATTTATTTTAAGACCTTAAAAAGGTCACAACTTCTTGTAGTAGTACTATACTGCCTTTCCATGTATTACCGGACTCCCTTTTCTGACTGATCTATAGCCTTGGATTATGATCTTGCAAATGGTTGTGTATTTAAATTTATTAGCATAAATACCACATTCTGCATATGCACAACTGTCTGTAGTACAATCACTATTCCCCTAGGGACAAGAACATTTTAGTGGCACAAAACAGGAGCAGATTGTGAAAATCACCAGTATTTTCATTTTGTCCGCTACAGAAAAAGGTTGTGTTTGATATATGCTAAAGTGTTCATGCTACCAAGAGATTTGGGTGTATTTCCAGAGCATGCACCACCCAGCTGTGTGCCTTATGAGACACAGTCAGAAGCAACTCTTCTAGCTTTTAATTTTCTGTATCGCAACATTGCATCCCTACCAAATACCATGATCCCACTGAAAATCAGGGAGGCATCAGACCTCTAAAAGAAAGTCATGAGAGCTTTTTATGCTGCAGACTTGTAAATGCTACACATCTTGATCTGCAAATAAAAATCCCAAACTATTTGTATTTACCCTTGAACAACTTCAAAGTGATTTCTCGGATAACAGCACTCCAGTGGTGACAGCTGTATTAGTGCTAAAGTCAGCTTCTCACCAGAGGCAATTGTGGCTAGCAGCTCAACATGTCTCTGGACTCCCAGGTTTATTTCATTTTACTTCCTAGAATATGCAACGAGTCACAGTTAGGATCGGTACTTGTAACTCAAGCTACAGTGGTAAGTCATGACAGTATATATCAGTGAACAATAGAACCAAGAGGTACGTTAGGGCATGGAGGGGGATGCTCCATTTGGAAGGAGTAGACAAACAAGGGAAAGCATGAAATTCCGCACTCTCAAAGTAGGGAATGCAGTAGGCAGTGGTTGATGGTCTGAGGTTGGGATCCTATTCAGAAGTGCAGGGCCGGGGAACAGAGGCACAGTTCTGTGCAGGACCTGACACAGGTGGGAGCTGCTGCTGCTCTTCATCTCTTGCTATTAAAGACAGCGTTTGCCTGCAGTATTACTCATGGCAGTATCTGGACAAATTAAGCTTAGAATAGGTTTTGGTCTCCACTACTGAGATATTCTTACGAAATTTAATTGGTTAAAAATATTAAGAACACTAGCTGTCATAGCTGTGCCAGCAAGCCTGATGGCATAAACATAACGGTGTGGAGAAACAAGTGCTTAATGCAATCTGAAGAAGTGATGCATGAATACTTTTTAATTATCCGAGGATGACCTCATTATGCTACTACTCGGGGATTAAGAATGGTTACAAGAGCGTGTCATTGCAGTGCCATCTGGTGACAAATACTGGAATTATCACTAGAACTGTAATAGAATAAATCAAGGGAAAATAAAGATGGAAAACCTACAATAAAATTATCTCTCTGGTCCCAGATGGACAGGATGACTTGGATTTTCTATTTTTAAACCTGGTGGGCAGGCTTCCTTTCTCTGTTCTCCTCAGTATTACCATAATTCAACAAGATACATTCACTGTTTTTACATGGAGAGAAATGTATATGAATCACATTTCTAAAACAGTCTGTAAAACCTAATCTAATACGGTTAGTAGTCACCTATATGCATGCCATATTAATAGATTTTTTTATCTGAATGAAAACCAGTATTTCAGAATTATTCAAGTATGAGAAGTCAGTATTCTTTAAAAAAACCCCACTGGTCTCAAGGAAACAAGGACTGAAAATAATACGAAAATATATTTGTCTGTGAAAATGTACTTGTCAGATGGACATTTAGGCTCAACAAAATTACCTAATTTTTTGAAAGCTACTTTCCCCACTACTATGGCCAACTCATACAATGCAGTTCATTTTGAATATTTTTCAGCATACTGTCTTTGCCTGTTCTGTAGAAGAGTGACAGTTAACTACTAGGGCAAGTGGGAATTAGAGCCTTAAGAAAGCATTCCCCAGATATATTCAGCCCTTAATTTAGCTCTAAACAATAATTCAGTGTGCTGTCAGCACATCAGGCGGTAGAGCTCCCTGACAGACCGTCCCTGGGATTAGGTTAGGAAGAAGAAGCAGTTTTTGTAGAACAGTTGAATCACAGAAACACAGAATCTCCTAGACTGGAAAAGACCTGTCAGATCATCTAGTCCAATCATTAACATAACACAGA